GAGCATGACGCGACTCGGAAAGAATGTACCGATGTTCTTGAACTTATGGGCCGGCAACAGGATGCCTATCAAGCCGAGATGGCGAAGCTCGAAAAAGAAAAATCCTCTTACGGTGAAACCATGTATGAGATCGGTTTCCAAGCAGGGAAAGAGACTGTTGCAGTTGCGGAACCGAAGTCTGGTGATGATGCCGAGGTAGAAGTTGCTGACGCCGGTGGGGATGATGAGGTCGGTGGGCCTGACCTCGAAATAGAAATGAACACTTGCTTTAACCTCCGCTGGGTGATAGAGCGGTATACTGCTGGCTATTATGATATGGACGAGCTGTGATTTTTCTTGTTCCACAAACTCCAGAAATATGGCTTTGACATGGAAGTCAAAGCCATGCATATTGAAGCCGATGAAGATGAGCGGGAGTTCTGTGTATGGATGCTCCGCCGAGCTGAGGAGATGGCTGCGAACCCTGACTTACCTCCACTCTCCGAAGAAAGGGCGGCCCTCCTTCGACGTGCTTATGTCAATACGATTCTGGAGGGAGAGAAAGAGAAATGGAAGGAGCTGGTCGATATCTATGTCACAACGCTCGCCGACGTGGAAGTGGAGCAGAATTTCGACAACATGGCTCCAGAACAAATCCGAAGCATGGTTGAGGCTTACATCGAGGAAAAAGCCAAGTCGACGGACAGGGAGGTCGAGATTACTAAGGTCGTGACGCCGGCTGAGGACAAATCCGACAAAGTGAGGGACCCGCGTGATGAGCTTGTTCTGGTATCGGATGCGGCCATCGATGATGCCGCCAAGGAAAAAAAATAGTCATCTTGGAGCAATTATCCACCGGGGTGGAAGTCGGAGAAAGTAGTGGTGTTGGCCAAGATGTCGAGGGGAAGAATGACGCTGCTTGAAGTTCTCGAACGCTTTTACTTTTATATTTTCAGTTTGTTACGTTTGAACTGTGTAGTCGGGGTGCCAGTATGTTGGCATCGTTAGTAGGAAATATATAATTTTAAATTTTCTGACTTAATAAGATAACTTATGAACATTGCAGTATTTTTCATTGTATTTATTTTGTTGTGCAATAGTCAACAATTTTTTAGACCAAGTGTAATGAACTCGGTACGACTTTAAAGTGAATTGCCCAACTCAGATTTCTTTATGTTAGTCGTCGAATTGAGTTTTCTATAAAGATAATTTCCGAGTTCCACATTGATCTTTCTTAATGAATTCGGCTACTAGCGTAAGTCCGTATGCGAACTTATTTTAGATTTCGTAAAACTTAAATGCATTCTGAGCCGTGTGTTAAACAAATAGGGTTCACCGAACTTCGTCAGGGTTCGATTATGGAATGGCCCCAACCGACTTATTTATTTTATATTCGGTGATTATCAGGACCCATCAAGCCATGTTTGCTGGAATGACGTGGACGAGCCTCAACCCCAACCAAAGCATGCGTAGGGTTTGGATAGATTACGGGGTATCAGCGAGACCGAGTGTCGCAATGTTTGCATCGGCGCAAAATATGGATATAACCGAGTTTCAGATTTTACATCGGTACCGAGCTGGCGCTCAGATTTAAAAAGTAAAAGTTTTCAAACTTTCGTTACATAAAAAGAGTGACTTCATTCCGTCGGAGAAGCAAAAGGAGGGCTGGTCCAAAAGGAAAATCAGTCGCCCGACTTTGGACTGTTCATTGGTAGAACTTCTTTAGGAAAACAGCATTCCACGGATACTGATGTGGAGTCCCATCAGGATGAGCAATCCGATATGCTCCACAGGGTAAAACCTCAATGATTTGGTAAGGTCCTTCCCACTTCGGTTTGAGTGGGCCAAGGTCAGGCCTCGTTATGCGTTTGAGAACTAGTTCGCCAACTCGGAATGATCGAGGCTTGAGTCTAGAATTGACATATCTTTCGCTCCTATGTTTATAAGCAGCATTCTTGAGTTCGGCACGAATTCGGTGCTTTTCAAGCAGATCCAGATTAGCTTTTATGTTATCCGAATTGGACTCTACGGTGAAATGTAGGAT